TGAGTTTCAGTAGTTGTGGCTCATGGGCTTAGTTGTTCCTAAGCATGTGGGATCTTCTCAGACCAGGGCTCAAACCCGTGTTCCATGCGTTTAAAGATTCCTAATCACTGGACCACCAGGGAAGTCCTCCACTCACATTTCTGACCCAGGTGCTGCAAATTCAGAATCTCATGACTTCCTCAGATTGGGTATTTTGCTAGAATAACTCATGAACTCAGGAAAATACTCTGCTTATGATTAGTATTATTATAGCAAGAGCCACAATTTGGAAGCAGCAAAAGGGAGAGCTCTAGGTCAAAGACAGGGTAGGTCCACATGCAAGCTCCCCCATGTCCTCTCCCCATGGAGTCAGGACATATCACCCTCAGCCATGCTGAAGCAAGCTCATTGGATCATTGGTGTTCAGACTGTTCATTCAGGTTTTATCACATCAGCAGGTTTGACTGAATCACGGGCCATGATATTGAACTCAGTGTCTACCCCTACTTCCATCCCTAGATGACAGGCTGGCCCAAAGCTTCATCTCCTAATTGCAAGGTTGGTCACTGGGATGACTGGGTCCCCATGCTGAGCCATAGTGTTGGCATGAACTCTGAAGGGGTCCAGGAACTCCTGAATACCAAAGATAGTCCTATAACTTGGAAAATTACAGGACCAGGGGCAATGGCTTGACAAGTTTTTTTATTATACTGCACAGTTATTTGTATTCCCGATGTTGACCTTCATGCATGCTCAGTTACTCAGTTGTGTCCAACTCTTTGAGACCCTATGGACTGTAGTCCACCAGGCTCCTCTGTCCATGGAATTTCCCAGGCAAGAATACTGAAGTGGGTTGTCATTTCCTCCTCCAGATGAACTTCTTGATGTAGGAATCAAACCCATGTCTCCTACATCTCCTGCATTGGCAGGCAAATTCTTTACCACTGAGCCACCTGGGAAGTCCGCTGCCATGCTGACACACTCCCCGTATTCAGATTTGTGGTCCATTATCACATGACTCCTTAAATCCTGACTCAGAAGTATGCTGCTTTTGGTCCTGGTTATTGGGCTTCCCTGGTGGCTCAGAGGGTAAAGCGTCTGCCTACAATGCGGAAGACCTGGGTTCGATCCCTGGGTCAGGAAGATCCCCTGGAGAAGGCAACGGCAACCCACTCCAGTACTCTTGCCTGAAAAATCCCATTGACGGCAAAGCCTGGTAGGCTACAGTCTGTGGGGTTGCAAATAGTCGGACATGACTGAGCGACTTCACTTCATTATACATATTAGCCACATTCTATGGGTCCTTAGAGGTTTATTCCCTTTTGTCTTTTTTTAAAAATACATTTATTTTTCTGTCTATTTTGGCTGAGCTGTGCAGTTTGCAGGATCTTAGTTCTGTAAACAGGGATTGAACCTGGTCCTCAGCAGTGTAAGGCTGTGTCCTGACCACTGGAACCACAGAAATTCCTGAAACTGAGTAGAACTGAGGCAGAAGGTAGATGCCTCCTCTCCACTCCTCCCCACCCCAGGGTAAAGTGACTGGAGATTCACTCCCTATGAACCAAAGCTCCAAGATGAGAATAGCAGGACAATTAAGGGAGGAGGCTGGGCCCTTCCCAGACCACATATTTCTCAGTCTCAAAGTTAGGAGACCTCCCTGAACTCACATGTACAAAAAGGCTCCTTGGAGGTCAAACGGCAGTATTGTTAACTAAGGCCAGGTTACCCACAGGTCCCTTCAGTAGAATCCATCATGGCTAAGAGACGCATGTGCACATATGGGAGGATCCTGAGATATACCAAATACGGACTGTGAACCAGGCAAGTCAAAATGCTTGGCCAAAGAAAACTCAGAAGAAATGCCCCATGAAAGTAATTCAAACTGCAATAAGGGTGCAACCCTCACACACTGCACAATTGCACTCATCTCACACTAACAAAATAATGCTCAAAATTCTCCAAGCCAGGCTTCAACAGTACGTGAACTGTGAACTTCCAGATGTTCAAGCTGGATTTAAAAAAGGCAGAGAAACCAGAGATCAAATTGCCAACATCCGTTGGATCATCAAAAAAACTAGAGAGTTCCAGAAAAACATCTACTTCTGTTTTATTGACTATGCCAAAGCCTTTGACTGTTTGGATCACAACACACTGTGGAAAATTCTTAAAGAGATGGGAATAGTAAAAAAAAAAAAAAAAAAAAAGATACACTATGGTTGTGATAAAATAAATTAAAAAAAAAATAAAAAATAAAAAAATAAAAAATAAAATAAAAAATTATTAAAAAAAAAAAAAAAGAGATGGGAATACCAGATCACCTAATCTGCCTCTTGAAAAATCTATATGCAGGTCAGGAAGCAACAATTAGAACTGCACATGGAACAACAGATTGGTTCCAATAGTGAAAGGAGTCTGTCAAGGCTGAATATTGTTATCCTGCTTATTTAACTTACATGCAGAGTACATCATGAGAAATACTGGGCTAGATGAAGCACACGCTGGAATCAAGATTGCTGGAAGAAATATCAGTAACCTGAGATATACAGATGACACCACCTTTATGGCAGAAAGCAAAGAACTAAAGAGCCTCTTGATGAAAGTGAAAGAGGAGAGTGAAAAAGTTGGCTTAAAACTCAACATTCAGGCTGATTCATGTCAATGTATGGCAAAAACCACTACAATATTGTAAAGTAATTAGCCTCCAACTAATAAAAAAAAACCACTCAACATTCAGAAAACTAAGATCATGGCATCTGGTCCCATCACTTCATAGTAAATAGATGGGGAAACAGTGGAAACAGTGACAGACTTTATTTTTGAGGGCTCCAAAATCACTGCACATGGTGACTGCAGCCATGAGATTAAAAGAAGTGTGCCCCTTGGAAGAAAAGCTATGACCAACCTAGACAGCATATCAAAAAGCAGAGACATTACTTTGTCAACAAAGGTCCAACTAGTCAAAGGTATGGTTTTTACAGTAGTCATGTATGGATGTAAGAGTTGGACTATAAAGAAAGCTGAGTGCCAAAGAATTGATGCTTTTGAACCGTGGTATTGGAGAAGACTCTTGAGAGTCCCTTGGACTGTAAGGAGATCCAACCAGTCCATCCTAAAGGAAATCAATCCCGAATATTCATTGGAAGGACTGATGCTGAAGCTGAAACCCCAATGCTTTGGCCACCTGAGGCAAATAACTGACTCATTTGAAAAGACCCTAATGCTGGGAAAGATTGAAGGCAAAAGGAGAAGGGGATGACAGAGGATGAGATGGTTGGATGGCTTCACTGACTCAATGGACATGAGTTTGAGTAAACTCCGGGAGTTGGTGATGGACAGGGAGGCCTGGCGTGCTGCAATTCATGGGGTCGCAAAGAGTCGGACATGACTGAGCGACTGAACTGAACTGATGTACGGATGTGAGTTGGACCAAACAGAAGGTTGAGTGCCGAAGAATTGATGCTTTTTGAATTGTGGTGTTGGAGAAGACTCTTGAGAATCTCTTGGTCAGCAAGGAGATCAAACCACTCAATTCTAAAGAAAATCAACCCTGAATATTCATCGGACTGATGCTGAAGCTGAAGCTCCAATACTTTGGCCACCTGATGCGAAGAACTGACTCATTGGAAAAGACCCTGATGCTGGGAAAGATTGAAGGTGGGAGGAGAAGGTGATGACTGACGATGAGATGGTTGGATGGCATCACTGACTCAATGGACATGAATCTGAGCCAACTGCAGGAGATAAGTGAAGGACAGGGAAGCCTGGCGTACTGCAGTCCACGAGGTCACAAAGAGTTGGACATAACTGAACAACAAACGTTTCAAGAGCCAGACTATTTCCAAACTCTTGGTTCTTTACCTTGGATTGTCCCGAGAGAGTATTTCAAGGTAAGTTTTCAAGGATTCATCTTTTGCAAACATATCCAAATACATTCCCCATTAGCAGTCCTGTTTTGGCGATGAATAGCAAGCAATATGCTTGGATTAGAGGTCCTAGTTCCACTCAAATGCAGTTTCTTCTCTTCTGGAAACCAAACCAATTGCAGAGATTTGGAAATCATGAGCTTCCTAGGAGAGATAAGGTGTGTTTTGCCAAAAGTTTTACTTTCATTTTAGATTTGAAGGATTTGTTAACAAGAGAAATCACTCATTACACACACACACACACACACACACACACACACACACACACACACATTAAACAATTTCAATATTTAATAGTGGGTTATGGGACAATTTCAATATACAGTCATTAAACAAACAAAAAAATAGAAATAATAGAGAAATGTAACCACATATACACCACCAAATTGGGCCAAAACCTACATCTAGACTTGAACAGTGCTGGGAAGCCCCAAATAACAGCAATTTGGAGTCCCAGTTGGGAGAAAGGTCCCAGGCGGTGCATCCACCCCACGGGTGAGACTTCAAATTGCAGCTTTGGGGGCTCTCGCTTATATTCCCAGGCCACAAACTGATATTATCATCAGTTTATATGCAAAAGTGAAGCTCTGGTTTTTCTTTAACTTTTATAATGCTGTTTGTTTCACCTTGTAAGTCACAAGATCCCTTAGACCCCAGGGGACTGGCCAGGTCTCCAGGGGCTTAAGAAATTCCCAAGACTCACTTCCTTTCTTATCTAATGCGCTGCTTAACTTATTGGTAACAATTGGTACGCTTGTAGTTCAGGCAGGGTTCAGGCAAAGGCCAGAAGTTGGCCAGAGGCTTGCTCCCCTACTTCTGAAACCTGAACAAGACTACCTCCATTTAATTTCCCTAACAAGGTGCTATTCTCGTTCATCTGAAAATAGCCTTTCAGATTGGCTGGTTGATTACAGTCTCCTTTCAAGACCTGGTGTGCATTGTTGATGAAGATCGGGTTGGGTTTGTGTAGGCGTCATGGCCGAGCTGAGCCAGCATGGGGGTGATCTGGACCATGTCCTGGGACACATCTCCAGGGATGTGGCCTGTCCACTTGGAGAGAGATTCCAGATCCACAGGCTTGATGACCTGGGCTGTGGATCACTCGATCTTGGATAGGGAAATGCCGCTGGGCTTGCTGATGAGGTCCTTGTTGCACAGGACAGTACTGCTCCAGGTGGTGGCAAGGAGGTCAAGAATGAGCTAGAGAGGGCACCAGGGTGCAGCACCACCTGCTCTTAGTACAGAGGCAGGCACTTGTCCTTGCCCACCTCCATGCACAGGGCGTACATCATCTCCATGGCCTGGCTGCACTTGGTGAGGTAGTCGTGCTAGCTGCTGAGGTTGAAGCTGGCAATAGTGACGTTGCAGGTGACCCTGGAGTACGTGGAGGCCCAACTGTCCTGCACCACCAGCAGGGAGGAGGTGCAACAGGTAGACGGAAAACTTGAGTGTGGAGGGATCTTTGTTGCAGAGGATGCCGACTGGCTTGCCATGCTTGGCGATCACCTCCAGGTTGAAGGCCTGCATGGCCACATCCAGCACCTCATCAGTCACGCCCACCTCGTCCAACTGCAGCTTCTCCTGGCTGGACTTGGACCAGGCCTGCGACATGGCCAGCACATGGGAGATGATGTGGGTCTCCTTGCAGCACTGCATCTTGGGGTGGGCATCCAACATAGCACACAACAGCATGGTGTCCCCCCAGGGCAGGAATCCCAAGAAGATGAGCAACAAGGCCTTCTCATAGAGGTACTCCAGGTGGCCCATGCCCACTATCTCCAGGGCAGGCATTATTAATAGGCCAGGTGAGGGGATTTCATCTACTAGTTTCAATAGTGACCTGAGCATGACTATAATCTTTCTTTTAAAATAAATTTCCTCAGGGCCAAACAATTAGAGCCTTGGAGTGGAGAAATTTACCACAGTAACCCAAAAGTATTAGATGCAAATAATTGGTCAGAAACTCAACAATTGGGATTGATTTCTAAAAGTAGCATAAGATCATGCATATGATAGAAAAGCATTTGATCCAAATATAAAAGTCCAAGAAGTTAAGAAAACATTATAAATGATAAACCAGTAAATTTTCACATAGAAACCACAAAAATTATAACCATATTCACTCAGTCCTTTGAATATAACCAGTTCACTCAGTCCTTTTGTTAACCTTCTATGAAGCCATCATGTTTTTCATTAGAATTTTTCATTTTCTTACTCAGTTCAGCATTATGGTCTGAAAGTCAGAAACCTGTATTTATCCAAAAGTTCTTTCTATACATCTTCTTGAAGAGGAAGCATTGTTGCAAAGGCATTGTAGTGAAACTGTGTCTATAATGACAAAAGAACAAGGCATGTTTAAAATCTGATTACAGTGCAATTGACAAAGTAGCTTGGTTACTGCTGTGACATACAACACTTTCAGATAATAACTAGAATTATCACTGATAACATTTTACTAGGATAGACTAGATTTTTAGGAACTCCATATAATCACTAGAATATCTATATTATTACTAGTAACAATTTTCACACAATCTAACCTAATAAGATTTATTACTCATTTGATAATACTTCCCATGTAATTTAACCTACCAAATGAACCTAATTAGCTTAATATCTCTTTGTCCTGTTTCAGGGGCCCTTTGAAGCATCCCAGAGTTAGCTAGGGGTCAAGAAGACTTCATTAAAATTTGATTTAAGAAGTTTTGTTGAAAATATCAAAAGGGATTAAAACACTAAATCAGACAGAATCATAGATCAGTGTGAAACAATGGTTATTCACTTTGCCAACAGTGGTGGATGGTCACTTAGCTTGCTGGTATGTTACAGTGAGCATATACTGAGGCTCAGGGTCTAGTGGAAGTCGACTCTGCCATCTTGGCCTTAGTTGGTTTTAACCACGTTTCATCATATCCTATGGCTACGTCATTCTTTTAAAGGTTGTGTTCTGCCCCCTTTCCTCCTATTTCATTCCTCCCTCAGAGATTTTATTCCCATATTCTTATGTGAAGCAGAGGGGTGATGGTCCATCTTCTGTAACTGTTTCAAGGCTGAGTACGGACATTGACCCTGCCTGTCAGGGAGTGAAAATCTCTGGATGCCTGATCTAGGGGCCCCAGGGGCAGGACAGGCTCCTTGTTTTTATCTGCATGGGCCAAAATCCCTGCCCAGTCACCATCCAGTGTGTGGAACTACTGCAACTGCTTCCACAGTCTTTCTATGACTCTTCTTGATGATGAAGCACTTCTTGGGATAGCATCAGAGTACAAAAGTATCTATAGATACTTAGGAGGAAAGACTTAAGAGGAATGGTTAAACATCTGATTACAGTGTAATCAATAAAGAAACTTAATTACAGTAACCAGAATTACAAATGATTACATTTAACTTAACATACCAAATTTGTTGTTTTTCAGTCGCTACGTTGTGTCTGACTCTGCAACCCCATGGACTGTAGCACACCAGGCTCATCTGTCTTCCACTTTCTCCCAGAGTCTGTTCAAATTCATGTCCATTGAATCAGTCTGATTCAATCTGCTGCCCCTTTCTCCTTTTGCCTTCAATCTTTCCCAGCATCAGGATCTTTTCCAATGAGTCAGCTCTTCGAATCAGGTGGCCAAAGTACTGGAGCTTCAGCTTCAGCAACCAATCCTTCCAATGAATATTCAGGGTTGACTCCTAAATGTTTTTCTTTAAGATACCTCGGGGAAGCTCTCAAGTATCTCAAGGTTAGCTGGAAATCAAAAGAACTTTAGTTAAAGCTTGATATTTGGAGAGCTTGTCAAAATGTTTTAAAATACTTGGTCAAATAAGATCTTCAGTCACTGTGAGACAATATTTATTCCTCAACCAAAGTAACAAGAGATCTCAAAAGCAAATGCAAATCATTTAAAGGCAAAGAAACACAGTCTGTTGTCAAAGCAGCATTTCAAGAATACTTTGGAAGGATAAAACAAATCCAGTCTTGTTCTAGCCCATTTCTAACAAAATCCATTTACCCACTAAATTCATTCCAATCTTAGAAAATCCTGATCATGCATAACTCTTTTCAGTACTTTTTCATTTCTCACACCTTCTCTTACTGAAAACACATAGCCTACTTCCCTTAAAAAGTTTTTTCCACATTGAGTTACTTTTCCTGTTGAAAATTTTGTAACAGATAGAATAAGATCTTATTTGACCTCTAGTAAACCTAAGTAGAACAGAAATATTATACTTCACATTGATGACTCTGAAGACGTATCTATACTAATTAGATTAACAAATAAACATTAATACCATATTAATTTAATACAGAATATTTCCTAGTTCACATGAACTTGAAATTCATTTAGCTTAATTTCCTAGTGGCTCAGCTGGTAAAGAATCTGCCTGCAATGTGGGAGACCTGGGTTCGATCCCTGGGTTGGGAAGATCCCCTGGAGAAGGACCGGTTACCCACTCCAGTATTCTGGCTTGGAGAATCCCATGGACTGTATGGTCCATGGGATCACCAAGAGTTGAACACATCTGAGTGACTTTCACTTTCACTTCAATTTCTCTTGTATTTAGAATTGTTTGATTAGTAAGTACTTACTTTTCTTTAAGTCAATTAAATTGAGCTCATTTATGAATTACCCTCTGCAATATTATCCAAAGAAAAAGACACATATGGAGACATAACATATATCCAGACAGACAGAGTGAGAGATCTAGCTTCATTTTCTAAACTTAGTCATGAAAATCGGGTATCATAAAATTCACTAGTTTATAAATACCAGTTGGAATAGGTAAAAATTTTAAAGGCTTCTTCCTATTTTTCTCTGTCTCAGGAATTAGAGATGGTCTAAGTGTTTCTGAGAGCCCTAGTCTCAAGGCACAGGGAGGGGAAATCAAGTTCTCTAAGTAGGACTTGTTCCCTCAGAGTCAGAATTCTCAAAAGATGCTTGATTAAGCTTGCTTTTACTAACTGTATATGCAAAAAGAACCAGTTTTGGAATGAGTTTTTTTAAGAGTTTTGCCTAAATCAACTTTCTCTGGACTCTAAACAATACAGTGACCACACAATGTTATCCCACTTCACAAGGCAGAATGGGCATCACAAATCACAATGCAGAATACAAAGTAAAACACACACAGGCCCAGCTGTCCTAATCAGACCCTCCCTTAGATACAAGACTGACGTCTCTCAGAAAACCTCCTACTGAGACACAGAACTCCAGATCTGAGTGCTTCAGAGTAAATGGAAATATCTCAGGCCTTCAAAGAGTTCAAAGGGAGGAAAGGCGGCCAGGTTGGAAGAAGGGACAGAGAGACAAAAGGGGTGAACTTACAGATGTTTCTTGACACCTGCAAATGCCCAGGTGTTATAGGACTTTTCCCTCAGCTTCTAGGAAGGGGGGACACGAACTTGGCCCTACCAGGGACCAGATACCAGACCAGAACCAGAATTCAAGTTCTCTGCCCACTGGAGGTGATCAGGCTCCCACACTCAGATCAAGCTGAGGCCCTTCAAACCGACTCCTGTATCCAGGACCAGGACAGAAGAAAAAAAGGGTAGGATAGGAGAGGTTGAAAAGAGGAAAGAAACAGGGAAGGGGAAAGAAGTCACTTTCTTTTTCCTTACCCAGTCAGGGCACTCTGGCCAGTTGTCTGCGTCAGGAGGAGATCAGGGACAAAAGGTTCCAGTTACAGCCACTGGATCTGGTTCATTGGTGGGTGAGTTGGTCGCCGAGTACCCCCAAGTGGTTAGGATGTCAGTTTTAATGAAGAAGAGGTCCCACCAGAGCTGACATTTGATGCAGGAAACGGACCCCTTCCAGGGCCCGAGAGTGGGCTCTTGTCTAACCCTCAGAAATGAGTTGTATGGGGAGACACACACACTGACAAAGCAAGAGTCTTTCTTGGGAAGGGGCACCCAAGGGGAGAGCAGTGGGGAAAGGGAACCCAGGAGAACTGTTCTGCCACATGGTTCGAGTTCTCAAGTTTTATGGTAATAGGATTAGTTTCTGGGTTGTCTCTGGCCAATCATTCTGACTTAGGGTACTTCCTGGTGGTGCAAACATCGCTCAGCCAAGATGGAGTCCAGTGAGGAGGATTCTGGGAGGCTGGTAGGACATATGAACTGGTGTCTCTCCTTCTGACCTTTCCTGAATTCTTCCAGTTGGTAGTAGCTTGTTAGTTACACATTTCTAACCAGGACTTCCTGTTTTGAAATACACATGCAAATAGTTACTATGGTGCCAGACCAGGGTAGGCAATTTCAGTCTCTGTTTTCCCTAACACTTCAAGGACATGACAAAGCTTAACTTCAAGTTTCTCCTAAGAATATTAGAATGTTTCTGTTCTCCCAGGGTCAGTGTTCTTGGGGGAAAAAAAAAAAGATATTTTATCAGGCCAGCTTTCTCTAACTGCACATGCAAAATGAGCCAGTTTTGGAATTTCAAGAGTTTCATCCCAAACAATTTTCTCCAGTGTCTAAAGAATATTGTGACCACATGATGTTAAAATATCTTTCCCTTACCTACAGGTTTATAACTACAAGTCGACCAGTCAGCCAAAATTTTCTTAGGAGGCTGTCTGATGGAATCAAAGAAGCATTTTCCAATTTTGACCAGACATGAGTGAACCAAATACAAACCAGACCTCACCAGCTGATGCAAGCCTATAGCAGGGGGAGAAAAATAGAAAGCATAAAGCTCAGAGTGGCTGCTTCCAATTCCTGCTCAGCCTGTGGTTTTTGTCCAACTGGTCCCTTACAGGTGGAATTTCCAAAATGAAATACCCAGACGGAAACTGAATGTTCCCCAGATGGAATTGAAAGTGTTGCTGAACCACACAAAAAGACTGGGATTCTTGGCCTCCGGAGGACAAGAATTCAATCTGGGGTCAGAGACGAGGCTTGATCACTCAGAGTTTTTGTGTAATAAAGTTTTATTAAAGTATAAAGGAGATAGAGAAAGCTTCTGACATAGGCATCAGAAAGGGGCAGAAAGAGTACCCCCTTGCTAGTGTTAGCAATGGAATTATGTACTCTCTAATTAGTTGTTAGAGTGAATCAAAAGAATGTCTGGAGGTTGTAAAGACCTCACTAGACCTACTCCCATAATTTACACCTTAAGATAACAGGATTAGCCAGAAGGTTTTTCTAGAGACTGTCCTCAAGCAGGATACATTATTGTTATATAACCTTAAGGAATGTAGAGGGACAAAAAAGTTTGTCCTTTCTTCCTCCTTGAGAATTCCAGACCCCTCTCTCCTTGGGGACCCCTAGACTTCTTATCAACCTGCCGCGGAATTGACTCTCTTAGAATCAAAAGTTCCTCAGATGCACAAGTTGAAGGGGATCCGCTTACCTCAGGTTGGGACTTGAACCCATGTGTTGGAACTCGAACCTCAAACCCAGCCAAAACCCATGGTCTTCCAGCTGAGATCACAGACCTGGTTTTAAGACATAAGGAAGCTCAGGTTCTTGATGTCTCATCACAGAAAGAATCCAGTGAGAGACAAAGTGATAGGTAAGAAGTGGATTTATTCATAGAGAAACACTCTCCACATAGAGAGTGTGAGCCTTCACAGAGGGCGAGCGCAACGGCCTGGAAATGTGGTGTGGTTAGTTTTTATGGGCTGGGTAATTTCATGGACTAATAAGTGGTAGGGTTATTCCAACAGTTTTGAGGAAGGGGAGGGGATTTCTAGGAGTTGGACCATGGCCCCCTTTTTGGTCTTTGATGTTTGACCTCAGAACTGTCATGGCACCTTTGGGTGTGCCATTTAGCTTGCCGATGTGTTACAATGAGTTTATACCAAGGATCAAGGTCTAGTCAAGTTGACTTGTTGGCCATCGTGGACCCATTTGATTTTAATTAGTTTATGTTGTGCCCTCAGGCTATGTAAAAGGTTGTGCCCTGCTCTTTCGCCTCCTGTTTCAAAGGAGCCTCAGAATATTCACCTGGGGACTGACCCAGATGCTGGCCAAGGTGTCTCCATGTCCCCTCCATGTCTCCGTCCCCCCAGTAATTCTTTGGAGCAGAAAACTCAGGCTGCAGAGGCTGAAGAACGAAAGAAACTTCTTTAAGGCAAAGGTGGCCTCCTCAGGGTGGTCTTCCCTCACCCTCCACTTCTGACTCACCCCCACGGCCTGGGTGAGCACCTGGCATGACGAGCTCAGCCTTCTTGATAAGGGTCCCAGGCAAGCTGGCCGCTGAAGGAATCTTCCAACCCTCTGCCTTCTCAAAAGAGGCTGGCATGGAGGCATGACCTCGCAGAGTCTGATCAAGCCAGGGGACCCCCGTGGGGCTGCCCCTAAATCAACCCTATACCGAACGCCCAATTTGTTGCCAAAATCCGGCCTCCATACAGTGGTGCGGGATGAAACCTTTAAGGGAGAGCTGGGTGAAGGAGAAAGAAGTTAGCTTTACTGTTTGGCCAGGCAAAGAGGGCCACAGCAGGCAACGCCTTAAGCCTGTGTCCCAGCCTGGTGGTGGTACTGAGGCGTCTCACAGTGTTTACGGAGCCGTGGTCGGTGGTGAGGTAACGAAGAGGCAGCGTCATCAACCTTCTGGTTCCAAGTGGTCTGGGGTTGGCTTGCTTGTGGGCAACATACAGTTAACTTCCTCCACCTGGTAGGGGTTTCAGTATCTGCTAAACAGTTCACATATAAGGCACAGAACAATATCTATAGACCTTGAGGAAGAACTAAATAAAGGTCCTTGACTTTGTCTATTGGCTGAAGTATTATTAGTTTGGCTTGTTTGGCTGTTTTCCTTTTCTTTCTGCATTTTCTCACTTCTCTGATTAAATTCATGCTTGTAAAAAAATTTTTACTTTTTATTTTCCGGCCACATCCCACGGCAAGTAGGATTCTTGTTCCCCAACCAAAGATCAAACCTGCGTTCCCTGCAGTGGAAGTTCAGAGTCTTCACCCACTGGACCCCCAAGGAAGTCCCCAAATTTATTCTTTGATGAAAGTTTTTCTACAGACAAAAGGCAGGCGGAAGACTTGGCTGGGGTTTTTTCCTGGGAAAGCCTCATAGGGTCCTGCCCGCTCACCATCTGGCCCCTCCCCTGCTCTGCACCCGGCTGGAGTCTCAGTCAGCACAGAACCAGGCAGAAGACCACATGACTGTTTCGTAATCTTTTACTTTCCCAGAGTCACATCTATTCACTGCGAGGAAGGCAGAGTCCGTGTGTTGCTTATAACAGCAAAAGTTTGATTTCTCAATGTTTGCCAGTGTTGGGGGAAATCACAGTTTAGCGGCCAACACAGGAAGCCAAGCTGGTAATCTGTGTCTCCTGATCCTTGTTATCATGTTAGTGATGTCTCCCCAGTTTTAAATCAGTCCTCTCTCTTAGACAGAGGAGTTGGTATTTATAATTAATAAGGATATCCAAATCTCTACTGTTAAGTTCCCTCATGATGCGGCTTCTTAAACAATAATATACAATGTCGTCTTCTAAGATTTCGCAAAGATAGCATAGATTCCGAAGATATATAAGAAGAAATTAAACCATAATGACTTCTGCTGGTTGGCGACCAAACATCTTTTTAAAGATGTATATGATATTGTTTTCTGAACAATTCACGTTTAACTGGTTGCTATCTTGTGTAGTACAAATATCAGCATTCCTTGGACTGGGCAACCCAACTGTTCAAGGGTTTCAGGGCTTGTTTCGTTCCATACATCATTAATTTATCTATAAGAAACCCATGGAAAATATATATTATGCATACAAACATAATATATATCTACTATATATTATATATTATATAATATAAATCATATATGTTATATACGTGTGTGTGTGTGTGTGTGTGTGTGTGTGTGTACTCAGTCGCGTCTGACTATGACCCCATAGACTATGTAGCCCATTAAGTTCCTCTGTCCATGGAATTTTCCAGGCAAGAATACTGGAGTGGGTTGTCATTTCCTACTCCAGGGGATCTTCGTGACCCAGAGATTCAACCTGTATCCTTGCATCTCCTGCATTGGCAGGCAGATTCTTTACTACCATGTCACCTGGGAAACCCCATGTTATATATACATTTTTAATTGTACATATTATTATAATATATATCAGACACTGGTATGTATCTGCTACATGTAGTTTGCTTTGACTTTCATTTTCTTTTCCATTGAGAGTTTTGTTCTTTTCATTACTTAAAATTCGTTTTCCCTAGGGGTATAGTTGATTTACAATGTTGTGTTAGCTTCAGGTATATAGCAAAGTGAGTCAGTTATACATATATCCACTCTTCTCTAGATTCTTCTTCCATATAGGTCATCACAGAGTACTGAGTAGAGCTCCCGCGCTACAGAAAGCCGTTATTCCTCGTCTATTTTATACACAACCTCAGGCTTCCAATTCATCCCTCCCCACTTTACCCCAGGTAACCATACGATTGCTTTCTACATCTATAATTTTGTTTGTTTTGTAGATAAGTTCATTTGTACCCTTTTTTCATTTCTCAGTTGGTGTGTTTTAGATACTTTTGGTTAGATAAAATGAAAGACTAAACATAATCTATTAAGTGGGAGAAAACAGCGGCAAAGAACTATATGATATCACTTACATGAGGAATCTAACAAAATAGCACAAACTAGTATATGTAACAAAAAAGAAGCAGATTCATGGATATATTGAAGTAAATAGGGGTTTCCAGTGGGGGAGGTGGCTAAGCATAGTGGAGAAGGAGTGGGAGGAACAAACCACCGGAGTAAGACAGGCAGGAAGATGAACTATACAATACGGGGAATATAGCCACTATTTTGTAATAACTGTAAATGGAAAGTAACCTTTAATCATTCAGTGCACTTCAGTTGCTCTGTCGTGTCCAACTCTTTGCGACCCCATGGACTGCAGCAGGCCAGGCTTCCCTGTCCATCAGCATTTATAAACAATGAAATAAACGTTACATCAGATTTTTTTTTAAAGGGAGTTGAGTCTGGGGGAGCCGGGAAAGGGGGGAAGTGAGGGAGGCCCAAGGAGGAGGTCTTGCGGTGGGACCAGAGCGTGGGGCTGGAGGGCAGGGTTTCCAGGCTCCCGCTGGGACCCGCCTGGGAAAGGCAGCGCTGCTCTGAGCCGGGCAGGGCGTCCAGCATCTGGGGAAGCCCTGGCGGAAAGGGGATGTCCAGCTCTGGGCTTCACATATCCTCCGTGAGTTTTCAAAGTGCTGAGATGTGTGAGGAAGTGCAACTGAGACCACAGTGGCGGCTGAAGAGGAGCCAGAGCCAAGGCGAGGAGGGGAGCGCGGGCAGAAGCATCCAGAACAGGAGGGCACAGGATGAGTGACAACGACGAAGACTGGTAGGCAGAGCCCAGAAGGATCTAGAAAAGCCCGGAAGCGGCTCTAGGGGGCAGGGCATGAAGAGCGGGTTCCTGCCTTCGGGGAAGGGAAGGGAAAGCGGGGGTGAGGGCGGGGCCGCTTGTGCAGTTTCATTTCTCGAGGCAAGAAGAGGCCTCAGTCACAACTTCCGCTGTTGGAACCGCCAGCCTCCAGGCCCCCCCTTGGGAAGCACAGCGCTTGTTGGGGTCCACACCGTCCACACTTCCCCTCCCAGAACGCTCCTTACACTTTGAGGGCTCCGCGGTGGCGTGGAGCTTCTCCTTCCCTCTGTTCTCACCCATTTCTCTCCCTTTCCCGGATGCCCACGCATCCCTGACTCCTCTCAAGGCCCCACGGCTCCTCGCCCTCCCCTCAGGTCGGGATCAGCCCGCCCCAAACTCCCAGGTCGGCACCCACAGGGCACATGGCCATTAAAGGTTCGTTTGGCACCACCACTCCCCCCCACCGTTGACCAGACCCCCAGTTAGAGTGGGCAACTTCCTGGCCAGCCAGGCACCCTTCCCCAGCAGACTGGGTGACCCTGCTGCGTAAGAGCATCCAGTCCAGGACATGACGGAAAAACCATTCCTCCAGGGAGAGGTCTGTCGGCTATATGGGGCCATCTGCATTCAGCCTTGAAGGGGAGGGCAGAGGAAACACACTTCTCCTCCAGGGACGGCGGAGCCTGGTGGGCTTCCGTCTATGGGGTCGCACAGAGTCGGACCTGACTGAAGTGAGTTAGCAGCAGCTGCCCAGAAGTAACCGAATAAAGCCTGTGTTTCTCAAGGAGACGGAACAAAATGAAAAGCCACCCCCCCACCAAAAACAAAAAACAAACAAAAAAAAAACCCAAACATAGTTCACAAAGATAGTATAGATCCCTAATGGATATATAAATAGAAATCAAGCCACAGTCACTTCTGTTGGTTGGTTACCCATCTTTTCAAATATATATATGCTCTTATTTTTAAAAAATTTCATGTCCACCCAGTTGTATGCCACCGAAGCTATCTTGCGTAGTAAAATTATCAGTATCCTTTTGATAGGGTATGGGATCAACCAATTTAAGGCTTGCAGGTCTTGCTCCATTCCACATGTTGTTAAAATATCTTTTATAAATTTTGTTACCTCCTGTGTGAGAAGTTCAGCCAGCACCTGCTCTGGAACTTCCAACACCTTGTCCATGATCAGCGAAACAAGTGATGACATGGAGTGGGAGAAGGCGAGGGTGGGATGATCTGAGAGAACAGCATCAAAACATGTATATTATCAAGTGTGAAACAGATCACCAGTCCAGGCTGGATGCATGAGACAAGTGCTTGGGGCTGGTGCACTGGGGTGACCCGGAAGGGATGGCATGGGGAGGGAGGTGGGAGGGTGGGTCAGGATGGGGAACACATGTAAATCCATGGCTGATTCATGTCAATGTATGGCAAAAACCACTACAATATTGTAATTAGCCTCCTACTAAAAAAAAAAAAAAAAGACATGGAGAAAGCTCGAGTTTTGAGTGTTCCTGTCAGACCATACCCGCAGGCAAGACATCGTGGGAGGTGCCCGTTCTACAGAGAAAGTGTTTTGGCCAATGAGCAGGTGATACGTAACAGGGCATCACTTGATGTATAAGGTTACTTTCCCTTTCACTTGTTTGATGGCCAAAATGTTGGATCGTAAAATTTCTTTTTAAAAAATACTTTAAAAAAATGATCAGATGCTCTGGGAAACTATATCAGACCCTTTGGAAACAGAGGTGGCAGTGAGGAATAATAAGAAAGCTTAGGGTTCTGACCCGGGGTGAGGTGAGTGACTATAAGATGCCAAAGCACCGTCAGGGTTTCACTGTCACTGAGAGAAAGGATGCTCTCCAGACCCAGCCCAGGGGCGGGGTTTTCAGAGAAGAGCTCCATGTAGTACCTCTTAGAGTCTCGGAATCAAGGCCTTGGTGTGGGAGATCTGCGGGTTGAGGGTGTGTTTGTGTGTGAATATGTATCCATATATGTCCATTTGTGTGTATGTATGTAGGTATGTGCCTACATACGTGTGTGTACACGTGTGTGTGTCTGTGTATCTGTGTGATTGTATCTGTGTGTGTGTGTGTCTGTGTTTCTATGTTTTGCATCTGTTTGTAAAGGGAGTCAGCGACACGCAGCACAAGTCTCCTGGCACACAGGAGTCCCCTTTGGGTGGAGAAAGGGTCCAGGAAAGCAGCTGGAGAAGGAGACTGGAATCCTTTGGGGCTAGAAAGGCAGAGTTTGAGCAGGAGTGGGGGATGTCAGGACCCCGGAGGAGACAAGTCTCCTGCTGATGAGGGCACAGGCGATTCAAACAGGAAGGACAGGAGGAGTGGGGGTAGGGGCCAGAATAGGGTTCCTGGACTCCAACCCTGGGAGTGTGCGTGGGTGAAACTAACTGAGGCCACTCGGAGGCTGAAAAGGATCCAGGCCCCAGGGAGCGGAGGGCATAGTGGGCAGAAGAATCCAGAATCCAAGGAGTGGGAAGGGGAGGAAATGGGGGATGGGGCAGGCCTAGGAGTGTGGGGGGCCCAGAATGATCCTGACGAGGGACGGGTTTAGCGGGCAGGGGACGAAGAGGAAGTTGCTGTCCTGGGGGATGGGAGGGGAAATCGGGGTGAGGAGTGACTCTGCAGAGATGGGATTACTTGTCTAGTTTCTGCTTTTCAGGCAAAAAGAGGCCTCAGGCGCATCCAGCCTTTGGAACCGCCAGCCTCCCTTGGGAAGCTCAGAGCTCTTTGGAGTCCGCACCATCCACTCGCCTCCCTCCTGGGGACGGGCCTTACACTGGGAGGGTTCCGCTGTGGCGCAGAGCTTCTCCTTCCCTCTGTTCTGACCCTATTCTATCCCTTGACGACTGGCTCCGGGGCCCTGTGCGCCCCCTACTCCTCTCAAGGCCGCCCTGGGGCTCTGGTCCCTCTGCTCATATGGGGAACCTGCCTCCCAAGCTCCCAAGTCTGCGCTGTTCAAGCAGTCTGAGTGGGGGTTGGAAAAGCATTTCCAGACCCAGGGCATTTCAGGAGGGAGTGAGTTTATTAAAAACTACGAGCAGAGAGAGAGTGGGCACTGCGAGCCCAGCTGGCTGACAACTGCTGACAGGCCAGGGAGAGTCCGCAGTGTTCATGAGTTAATAGCCAACTTTTGTAGCCTTTAAACAAAGAAAATTCCAGCTGGGAGGGTGGCATTAGGTGATTGATTGGGACGCTATAGGGTGTTTACTGGAGTGGGCATCTGTGCCTAATTGGGCGTCAGGCAGCTTTTTACTTACTGTTAGGGGGCTTTTGGCAACAGTTAGAAAGTGGGACAGTCAGCTTTCAAGGTGACCTTGGTTCTGGGCTCTGCTTCTGTGGCTTTGGTGCAGGACCTCACACCTGTGGCCTGGGGCAGGATTCTGTGTTCCCCCCTCTTCTTATTAATGGGTGAAATCTTTGGCCCCTTTACATCCTGCTCATGTCTAACTCCCTGCCTATCCTCTCTTGGCGCATGGGGACCCACGTCATTGGGGAAAGGGGCAGAAACCGCTCTGGCTTCTTCCTGCTGGACAGGAGGGTCGTGGGGTCCTGGGTCCCAATGCCCACACTCTGTCAGGGTGCATTTTTGGAGGGAGCTGAGAGTCTATGGAATGAGAAAACCGCTTGTTCTGGCGTAGTACGTGTGTCAACCTCTCAACAAGCTGATATCCTTGTTGCATGAGCATCTGGAGATTTCATTTGTTTTCTAAAGAAACAAGCTTGACAAGAAGGCTAGACATATATGGCCTGAAGATTAATAGAAGTAGAAAAGCTGCCAAGGGGCCTAAAAGAGGGGCTAGTCAGGAGCTCTAGGGCCAGACACTGGTCTGTGATGTTGGTGCTTCTCTAGGTATGAGAAGATGCAAGAATTGGGGTTCATGGAAATCTTTATTTGAAAATGCCTAACTATCTGAAGGTTTGTCCTGCCAGTTTTTGTTAGAGCACAGAAGGCCTCATTCGTGATTTCTACGCTGAATTCCTTTCTGCGGGTGTAGAAGGTCCGCAGCTCTAGTGGCTCCTGATTTCATCTTTGTAGAGGCAGATGGCAAGTGCCGGTTTCCAGTTGCAGACTCCAATCATGGCCATAGATTTGACCATGGTTTCGGGGGCATATTGTGATCATTTTATCCCATGATGTTAGGAATGCTCTTTCCCAGGTCTACCAAAGATGCTTTGATTGTCCACTCAATGCACTGTTACTGGACTAGGCTATGAAAGTAGCAAAAGTCCTGGATCATATCTCCCTTACTAGTAGTCTCTTATAGTCGATGAAAATAATCCGTATTTTTGCTACTTCTCATATCTAGAGTTACATTATGATAATCATTGATCTCATATGGAACTATATATCATCATTTCATTAGAGACTCAGTCACACAATTGGTAATGTAAGAGACAACAATTCTGTAAAATAGGCAATCTAGAAAGCAATATAGCTAGCAGTAATAGTAACGTCACAAGTAAGAATTTAAGTACTTTTATTAGGTGTAGCCCAGTATTTACCTTGTCATCTGACTTAGTTTGTTGAATGACTGTAATCTAGTGTTAATCTTCTGGTTGTAGATCATGGAGCATCTGATCTTTATCTCAAGATTGATTATGAAGTTAGTCTTCAGAAACAAACTTAGGATGTCCTCTTATTAACTTAATTAAATTTTATAACAACAAATAATTATTTCAGAAGTGAATCTTAGTAAACACTAACCTTAATTAACAAAACTAGGATTTAATATTTGATGAGACAAATTTTTTTC